GCATGGCAGTCCAGGGGATTGCACCCATGACCCCTGAACCTGCTTGCAGGGGCTTTAAACTGCTGAGCTATTTGGCTGGCCTTTGAAAATCTTAATAAGGCTCCTGTGGCTTCATTTGCAAGGTTTTGGAATGATCAAATATAAACATTTCCATCATTCTGTTATGTATATACAGGTTTTGAAATGATTATTTGACACAAATGTCAAGTACAATTTATATCTCAGTAAGCTTTGTGCATATAAGAAAACAAGTATGTTAAAAATGGAAACATAGGTGCAAAGGAGCTGTTTTATGATGAAAACAAGTAAATGGGGGAAAGGGCTTGACCCTCGCCCAGGTAACCCAAGACCCTCCTTGTCCCACAGGGGAGTACCTGGACATTCTTGCTGTCTCCTGTGACAGCTTTGATGAGCAGGTCAATGTCCTCATCGGCCGGGGACAGGGAAAGAAGAACCACGTGGAAAGCTTGCAGAAACTCCATAAGTGGTGTAAGGAGTATAAGGTGGCCTTCAAGATCAATTCTGTGATCAATCGGTTCAACGTGGAAGAGGACATGCGGGAACACATCCAAGCGCTCAACCCTGTGCGCTGGAAGGTGAGCATGCAGTGGTGCTTTTGCTAGTTTTAATCCGAAAATATTCACGAGTGACTTTTTTTCAATGAAACTCAATATGATACCAAGACCAAGTGCTGTGCACCTCTTCAGAGAACGCTTGGCCTTACTTTCTGCATCATTAGTTTCATCTACAGTTTTCTTTATTGTTTTCCCTCCTGAAAATTGGCAGTGATTTTCTTCTTTAATATCATAAGGATAAAGGTCAAAGACACATTAAGGGCTTGGAGATAGTCTGAAGAATCTCTTTCTATAAAACCTAAATTTCATTTTCAAACTCTTGGCTTATGGATGGATGGATGGATGGATGGATGGATGGATGGATGGATAGATGGATAGATGGATAGATGGATGTTCTACATAAATTCTGATGCTGCCAAGTTTTCAATAGATTATTTGAAAAGGGCAAAGCCATCACTGCTCTGTAGCAAAATAAGGTCATTTTCCCAGGCTTGATGCCTTAGGACTGGTCCCTTCACCAGTCCGTTATGGCTTAGATCCAGAATGATCCCCCCAAGTCTTTAGAGGTACAGCTTTGGAAGGTAAATGGACGATGGGGGCATTGTATTTAGCTGTGAGTGAAAAGGAGTCTAGAGATCTTGATATTAAATGTCAGGAGAAACAAAATTTTGAAACTACTTTTTTGTTGATTTGGAGTCTTGGAAATGTTTTATTTTTTAGGTTTTTTATTGTGCCTGTTTCTTTCAAGGAACATCCATCACTTTATAGTCTGAAAATGTTAGGTTATCAACCTAATGCAAGCATACTCTAACCAGGTTTGGAAATTTATTTAAGAATATCTGTGTTTGTTCCTAAATATTGGGCTGGTCTCGACTCCTAGAGTAACATCTCCAAGGGATATTGCTCGGCTCCAAGAGCCTTCTTGGCCTAGAGAGATGGAACCTGGAGTAAGGAGCCAGGCATGGGAGACTGGAACAAAGAGTTCTAATGCAGAAACACTCCTGCCTTCCAGGTCTTCCAATGCCTACTGATTGAGGGGGAGAACTGTGGAGAAGATGCTCTGAGAGAAGCGGAAAGATTCGTCATTAGTGATGAAGAGTTCGAGGAATTCTTGGAGCGCCACAAAGAGGTGTCCTGCTTGGTACCTGAGAGTAACCAGAAGGTACCATCAGCCCACGCTGCCTTGCCCCAACAGTGCACATGGGTCATTCCAAAGAAGAGGGCCTCCTGCTCAAGGGCTGTGCATAGTGCCTCACTGCCATGCTAGGGGTTCAGCATAGAGCTGGTCCCAGCCACCTGCTAGCCACAAGGTCTCCCAAGAGGAGGCTCCGTTTCCCGCCCCAGGAGGGGCATCTCCATGCAGATGTGACTGCATGTACAGATGTGTGTTCAGTCCTGCTACTCAATCCTCACGTATACAGTTTACTCTGTAGAGGAGGCTCATGGTTGATGGCACAGCCCCTAGCTGGAGGGAGCTGAGAGCTACCAAGTCCATGTCAACACCATCTCCTTGCTTGTTGGAATTAGCCCTACAATTATCAAAACTTGGATAGAATAAAAAGACTGCTCAGCCAGTTGCTTAATTGTTCAGTATATATATAACTGGATGCTTCCCATTAGATTTTATTTTCAGATTAAACATCTTCCTCAGGCAGATCTACACTACGGTGCTTCCAGGCATCCGTAAGAGCCACTGTTCTCCACATTCTCAAAATTTAAAGAAAAATAATTCTTTGTTCTTGTGCCCAGACTGGAGGACCCTTCTGATTAATTCAACAATGAACATTTTTGAGTAATTACGGATGAAGTACTTGAATACATAAAAATTAAAAATATAGCTGGATGTGGTGGCACATGCCTGAGCCTGTAATCCCAGTACTTAAGAGGCTGAGGCAGAAAGATT